AGGGCAAGGAAGGGCTGAGGGACCCAGCTGGCTTGGAGGAAACTCGAGAGACGGGACAGTTAAATGCCGCACGTGACTGGCTGGATCCTGAACTGGGATAAAAATAGGCCATAAAAGGACATTTGGGGACAGTGGGCGGGACTGGACCAGGCAGTGGCCGTGTTTCAGCTTTAGCTGGCCCGATTTTGGCAAGTGCACTGTCATTATGTGAGAGGATGTCCCTGTCCTTAGGAAGGACACCAGCCGGAGTTACTTAGAGGTTCAAGGTCACGGTGTCACTAACATCCTCTCAAACGGGTCAGGAGAAAGTTTCGTTTATGTAGAACGAGACAGTGAGCAGATATTCGAGCCAATGGAAAGAGCCAATGAATCTGTCTAACAGGGGTTCCCTGTACTCTTCCTGCAACTTTGCTTAAGTTTGAAATGTTATCAAAATAAGTTTCCCCCCAAGTAGCCTCAGCACCTCTAGGTGAGTGACCCTCCTTACGAGTGACCAACTGGTCAGTGCCCCCAGCTCTGCTCCCAGATCATCACACTGGAAGGAAAAGCTCCGGGGAGGGGCGTGGGGACTTCACCTGTCTCCCTCCCCGCTGCACCCCACAGGTGACCTGCGTGGGAAGGGAAGCAGGGGTCCCTAGAGCCCAGGCAGCTCGCATCCACCCTGGCTGGGGCCCCTGTAATAAAAACTAAAAAGGAGAGCTCTTTGGGAAGAAAAACCTTTAAAGGGGACCTGTTTGTCTCCTGGGACCCTATCCAGAGGTGAAGCGGGAGGAGGTAGAGGGTCCCACACCCCTGGGCAGGCCGGGGCAGCGTGGACAAATCCATCCTGAGCGTCCCACGGATACGCGGGTGAGACCCACGGACCCTAGAGTCCACCTTCTGGAAGCCCGATCCCCTCCGAGGAGGGCAGATGGCTGGGGGAAAGCTCCCGGTGGGGTGGCCTTAACTCAGAAGTGCAGGTGCCACCTGAGACGTCCTACATGTGGGAGGGCACCTAATACACATTCAGGGCAATGGCTCCCCGGAGGAAAAAGGGGCAAATTCAAAGTAAAACCCAGCCAGGTTGGGGGTGAAGGTCAGTGTGGAAATGGTTGCACGTGGGCCGCGACGGGCTGGAGAGGTGGCAGGGAAGGCCACCTGGGGATAGCGTCTCTTCAAATCACGGCCCTGCCTCCTCGGGGAGCAGCACGCGGAGGGGCTGACTAGAGGGAGGGGAGCCTGCTGAGCGCCCCAGCCTGGCCACCCCGCCCCACCCGGCCCAGCTGCCCCACTCACCGGATCTCGGGCGTGGGTTCTGGGTTCACCTCAATGCTCTCCCCAAAGAACACGGGCAGCATCCGGGGCCTCATCTCTCGCGCCAGGGTGCTCGGGGGGAGGGGGAGGGGCTGTGGGGGAGAGCCAGGGACACAGGGTCACGTGAGCAGCCCTTTGGCACTGCAACCTCAGCTCCCCGCCAGGCTTAAGGGTTGCCCCACACCACTCCTGTCCTGGTTTTCTGGAAGCCTGCTTTGCGGGGTCCATCGGGAAGCCCACCCCAGCGTCCCTCTGTGGAATCCAAGCGCTCTGATGCCCACGGCTCCCCACCCAGCCACCGGCCTGCCCCTCAGTTCCTGGGCATCTCAACAAGGGGACGTGGTAACGGCCTCTTTCTACAACGCCCAGCCCACCCGAGCCCCAGGAGCCAGGCTCAGAGCCCTGTAGAACTGGGACCCCTCTCAGGGAGCCCCTGAGCCTAAGCCTCGCAAGCTGCGCCCCTGGGTGACACGTCACGTAGGAGCTCTGCGAGGGACTGAAAACCGTGCTCATCGAGGGAAGAGTTCCCGGCACTTCTTGGTGCATGGCTGTGGGCCCCTCATTCAGCTCCTTCACAGGTTTTCCCTGTCCTCGCCTGGACGAGGAGAGATCACAGCAGCTATGCTTTTTGAGCGCTAACCGCACCGGTCGTTGCTCTGAGCACTCCATGTATCCATACATTCGATCACGGGAGGGAGCTGTTACGCTGAAACTGAGGCCCAGGGTGGCTAAGTAACTTGCCTGAGGCCACACAGCTAGGAAGAGGCAGAGCTGGGGTTGGAACCCTGGCGGTCTGGCTCCAGAGTCTGCGCCCTCGCCCATGTTCCCCGGCTGCCTCTCAGGCCCACGGGACGGGTGCTGCAGCCCCAAGACCTGTCCTGTCACCTCCTGCTTGGAGCAAGCTTGCCCTCACACGCAGGATCAGGGCGCTTCCCACACAGGCCTCTGCCCATATATCTTTTACTCGCCTTGGCCACGGCCCAGGCTGCCTCTGTGCCTTGGTTTATGCTGTTCCCTGTACTAGGAACGTCCTTCCCTTTTCTTCTCACTTGGTCCGTCCAGGGTGACAACTCGGGCACCAGCTCCCTTGTCTTCCCCCAACATCCTCTGAGGGGTTCCTGGAGCTCCCACCTGCTGGTCTCCATTGCTGCGATCCCTTTGTGTGTCGCCCCCAGACCATGAGCTCCTTAAGATTCAGGACCTGATGACCTCTCTGGCCCCAGGGCCTGGCACCTCGCAGACCCCATGCTGTCCAAAGGCAGGACCTCACACACGCCAAGCAGCGCCCTGCTCCCCTTCCACCTCTCCCCGCCGTCCTGTGAGCCCTTGGGCCAGGCCCACACCTGTCTTCAAATCCGCTCTCAGCCTATGGACATGGTCACCGCAGCCCCCTCCTCAGCTGATCACAGCGTCCCCAGAACAGGGGCCGAGGAAGGACCACAGGAAGAAAAGATCTAAGACTTGGAGAACGAGGGGGTTCTCCATAGGCCCCCAGCAGCTGTCGTCAAGCTGTCCCATCTCTCCCTTGCTGGGCACGGCAGGTGGAATAATGGCCCCCAAAATGTGCATGTCCTAATCCCCAGAACCTGGGAGTGCGTGACCTTACAAGGCAAAAGGGACTTTGCACATGTGGTTAAGGATCTTGAGATGGGGAGGCTGTCCTGGAGTATCCAGTGGGCCCCCAATGTCTGCACAAAGGGTCCTTATAAGTGAAAGAGGGAGGCAGGGGGGTCAGAGTCAGAAAGAAATTGAGGACATTATGCTGCTGCCTTAAGGGTGGACGGGGCCAGGAGCCAAAGACTGTGGACAGCCTCTAGAAGGCGGGAAAGGCGAGAATTCTCCCCTAGAGCATCCAGAGGGGACGCCTTGCCAAAATCCTTGCTTTTAGCCCGTGAAAGCTGTTTTAGATTTCTAACCTTTGGAACTGTAAGATATTAAATCTGTGTTGTTTTAACCCACTATGCGTGGGGTCATTTGTTAGAGCAGCGACAGGAAGCTAATACACCATGTGACCCAGCAAACAACTCCCCTCTCGGGGCTGCAGCCTCCTGGGCCCCAAAGTGGGGCCACTGGAGCACCCGCCTCCCAGGCCGCAGTCATGACAATGATTCAAAGTGTGTGAATGTGTGGGACAGTGCCCGGCACGGAGCAAGCGCCACATACAGTCTTGTATAAAAGTCTCAGAATACAAGCCCGCGGAGAAAAGGCTTGTATTCTGAGTGCTTTTCCCAAAGGCTCGAGGGGTGGTGCCTGGTGCCGGGGCGGGGGGGGGGGGGTTC